AATAATCATAGAATGGTTTGGGTTGGAAAGGACCTTAAGATCATCTAGTTCCAACCCCCCTGCCATGGGCAGGGACACCACACACTAGACCATGTCACCCAGGGCTCTGTCCAACCTGGGTCTTTGTTCCTTCTTAAGTCTAAGCCTGCAAATCCAAAATGATACAGGTTCATGTATCATACGATGAAATGGAGATTTGCTGTGTGATGCCATTTCTAGTCAGACCTTGAAAGTCTTAGTCTGTAGAAAATGTTTCATACTGAAAAAAAATTCCCCCCCAAAAACACCAACCCCAACCCTGTAATTGGAAAGTAAACCCCAAACATTCTGAAGTTATTATTTCCACCCTGTGAAGAATCGCACAGAAATCTCTGGCAATAAAAGATACAAACAGCTCAGCCTTCTGATGCTGAGGAGTGTAGGGATATCTGCCTTTCAGTGTGAGAAAGGAAAACCTTGGCAGTAAAGTGGATGTACAGCCTGTCCAGGGATGATCTGCTGAAGGACTTACAGTGGTTTAAAAATCCTAAAGAATCCCTTTATCATATTAGTATGATCTGAAGGTATTTGGACTCCACCTGATCCCTCTCTGACACCATCTGTCTTGATGTAGGGGCCAGAACTCAGAATATGTATATGTGATTCGATTTCCCATAGCTGAATGGAGTAAATATGAATTAATGTCATTGTGTGATTACTAACTCTAAGCTGGCAATGGTTTCTTGGAAAGGTATACTTAGTAATCAATCCCATTTTGACATTTCAGTGGCTGCACCAACAGAAGGTGCCTTTCAATATTCATAGCTATGAAGTCCATTGCTCAGTTCATTCAAAGCTGTTCCAGTGTGCAGCCTGACATCCTTGCAGATACACAGGAGTAGAGATTTCACATCCTTATGGTCCTTTATCCCATTAAACAAAAATACAGGGAAATTTTCTTGTTATTGCTAATGTGCTGTAGACAGGTTAGAGTTTGTCCCTGAAGCGTGCAACTGAGAAATCACATATTAAACATGATTAGATTAATGTCATTGTGCATTTAAGCTCTTTCAGCATATTAAATTAACTTGTGTTGATGTTGCCATACGCTCAGTGTACAAGGGTTAGTTCTGAGTATTCCCAGAACAAAGAGTCATATTTCAGGAATGTGATAAATCAATAAATGGTTTATAAAACTGCTTCTTCTTGTGATGGGTAGCAAAAGGTGCTTTACGTGTCAGCCCAAACTGGCATGCAGTGAACATACTCTCCTCTGATCTAGTGAGATAAACTCATATCAGGGGATGCTTCAAACCCCAAGAAGCTTAATTGTACTTTGCAGCTGGATGTCAGCAAGGAGAGCATGTCCTTGTTCCATGCTTTCTCGCCTAACCGCTGCTGCCCTCTGCCAAAGCTCTTGACCCTGTTTCTGCTTCTCCCTCTGTGGGTCCCAGAGAGGTAATTCCAAAAACTTCGGGGAAGACAAGGCTGTCTCATGATTGCAGTATGGATTCAGATGTTGTGCCTCCATTCTAGCGCTCCCTACTACCTAATCTTTAATACGCACAGTTGCTTTGTGGAAGCCCTGTCATGTTTAACTGGCACAAATACTTTTTTTAAGGACACTTTGGGTGTTGCTTGTGGGGTTTTTTCATTTTTCACAGCTGCCCTCTGTGCATCTCAGAGAGTTTTCCTGTTTGCAGAAGAGTTTTGTGATCCAATTGAAGGCTATCAGAAGGGTTCAGATATCTCATGTATTGAAACTAAATGTGTAGCCCAGATGATTTACCTTTAATGTGTGAGAACACTACAAAATGTTCCTGGCTGCCCCAGTTTATCTGCGCACATGTTCCTTGTAGTGATTTATTGGAAGATGTTAATGCATGCCTTGCTCCAGGGGCTCTCCTAATGTGAAACAACTTCACTTTGATACAAGTCCAAATGCCGCTCATTCTGTGTGAGTATACTCAACCACAGAGGCTAACAAGGCATCAACTACAGCCAGACAACTGTGAAAGAATATTCCTGTCCAAGGCAGATGGAAAACACTGGTGCGCAGAAAGGCTGAGTGGTTTTGGAAGCACTGTCCTAGCACCTAGCAGTATGTGCTGTCTTTTTTAATAAACTCTTGCAATACTTAATGTTCATAGCATCAGTTTAGGATTACCAGATTTGAGGGACAATTGCTTAGACCTTTGCCAGGATTCACGGTGACGGTGAAGAAGGTGAAGGGCTGAATATCAAAACTGCATCAGATTGTCCCAGTGGTGTAATTGAGGAACTAGCATTGGTCACTCTGGGAATTTCATCCCAAGATGTGACGGTAACAGTCTAGTGGAATTATCCTTGGTTGTGGCAATGTCCAGCATGGCCAGGGGTAACTCTAAGCGGAGTTTGTAGAACTGAGGACTGGTGCAGCGATTCCTGCCAGGCACAGAAATTCCTGCCAGACCCTATTTTTATATACTTGCATATAACCTATCAGGTTGAGTATCTTCCTTCACTGTCATTCAGGATGTCCCCCTCAGTGATTTGCTTTAAAAACTGCTTTAAGGTACAAGCAAACAAAACTTGCTGTGAAGTAAAGCCGATTTGGAGCTGTACCTTGCCAGCTACTCTACATGAAATGCCCATGAAGACCTTCTGAGGGCCATACAGACTGAAAACCAAAACTGCAAATGTTTTGTCTTTCTCTCGCCTAACGCTAATCACAGCATACTCTTCAGACATGGAGAGGCGGCTTTCAGCCTTCGCAGAAGAGAAGAATGATACCAAGGCTTCTCTCCTGCTTGACAAGTGTGCCCATTAAGCTGTGACCTCAGAGTTGCACCCTCCTGCCTTAGAAGACATTAGCAGTACTTAGTCAGGAGCCTAGTCCTACCGAAGGCAACAAGCAGTGACTAAAGTCCTCTTCAGAATTCTGCTTGAACCAAGAGAGGATTTGCTGCTTGGGCCAGGCCAGTTCTGCTTCTGTGCACATCCACACCTCCTGGAAGCTGGAGAACTTGTGACAGCAGTGAGTGTGAGTTTAGTGGCACTTGAGCACAGCATTGCACTGACCACCACTCGGATGTAGACACCTCAATTCTGTCCACAACCTGTTGGAGGTACGTGAACTGTACCCTTAGGTGCTATTTCTAGTAAAGTATTAATGTTTGTGCATATAGATCATAACATAGGTATTTAAAAGCATGATCTAAGTAAATGAGGTTTCTGTGGAGCAACTTGCCCCAGACTGACAGTCTTGCAGTTTTTGCATCACCAGTATCACATGAAAAGTGCAGCTTAATGCTAGTGTGCTCAGGGATCCCTGTAAAACAAAAGGCTCTGTGAAAGTCTACAAATACACCAGCCTAGTGGAAAGGTAGTGTGAGGCACAATTCCTGTGGACACAGAGCTATTAGTTCCTTTTCCCTTGCAGACCGGTACCTACTCTAGTTTTGCTTCAACATTTGATGAAGTCCTTCTGCCCCAGGAACAGCCGACATTGGATTCTGCTGTTTTGCATTAGCAAGAGTCAACTTCACAGCAAAGTAAAGCAGGCGCAAAATACAGAAAGTAATAGCCCACTTAACCCTCACTGAAATGATTTTGAAAGCAGCAAGGGAGTGGAAGTTTCCCCTTTTCTTGTTACACAGCAGTCAGAGTGAATGCTTAGACTGAATGAACCAGAGAAGGAAATAGAATTTGCTAAAATTTGCGGGGGTTTGTGACCTGATGAGACTGAATCCACAATGATCTAATGTTACCACCATCCTCTGAGGAAGGTCAGTGAGGAAAAGATAGATTAAATGCTTCTGCGTAGATAATACAGGAAATAGCAAGACCTGGAGGTTTTCAAAAGACAGGATGCTTCAAACCTGTCCTCATTATTTGTATGCTCTTTGCTAAGGCTGTAGCAATAGCTTTCTTTTTAAAGGAACAGTCATCAACTACCTTTGGAAGCTGTTCACGTCAGTTAAGATTAGTAAATAAAAAATCCAGAACCCAAAAACCCTCAGACCATGATTTTATTTTTTGTCAGTGACAGACATTTGTCAGCCAGATGTACAAAAAACCCCACCAAACCTGAAACAAATTTACGAGATCCCCTAACTGTAAGATAGGAAGGGCTGCTAATTGAGTATGTGATGCCTGGATAAAAGGCTTAGGAAGGAAGTGCTCCGCTGAAGGGGACGGTACCTACTGAATTGAAACACAGCATTTGTCTAAAAGAAAAAGAAATTAGTAATTATCCCTTTTAGTTTGGTACATTCTTGTTTCTGCTGTGACATCTACACTTTACTGAAAGGACACCTCAGAGGTATGAACAGAAACACTCACTGTTCCCAAGCATCCTGGTTTCACTAGCGGCTTCTTTGGCCCTACCTCTTCCAGACAATCTTATCCCCATGCTACAGCTGCAACGGCCTTACCCGCAGAGCCAGCATATTTCAGATACTGCCTTGGAAGAGGGTACAGTTGGTTTCAGTTAGCAGCTCGGTACTGTGTGGCAGGCAGCCCCATGTGAGAAGTGTCACGCAGTGAGAGCCGAGACCTCCCAGAGGCACCAGCTGCTATGGAAGGAGAAGAAAGGAGAATACCACTGTTCGCTTCCCTGCTCCTGTGACCACGAACTGTTCAGTCAGCATTTAACTGGTGTAAGGCCAGCAGACAGGACTGCAAGGTCTTACTTTCCTTGCTAAAGGAGGCACTCCAAAGGCTGCTGCAGTGCATGGTTATTATGTGGTTTCTTAAGCCTAAGGACTTTCAAATTTCATGAAAAACATTTGCTATCTAAATGCATTTTATTCTCAACAGGGTAGTTAGAATGCTATGGGTATCCCTGATTAACATTCCCATTTTCCCTTGCAGCCACAGGAAGTCACTTCATCTTGCTTCATCTGACATTGATCAGAGGCCAGGAAATTCTACTTCAAGGTTTGTGAAAATTTGATTTTTTATAAAAATAGATGTTTCTGAGTAAAGAAACATCTCTGCTAAAATGAGTAAAAGGTCCAATGAGAAACATATTTCAAATCTGGTTCAGCATAAAAACTGTGTGGTTAACTGAATTACGAGGATCTTATTTTACGCCATGTAGAGCAGGTGCTGTTAAAATTCCTCTTCAGCTTGTCTGGAGCGAGAGTGTTTCAGATCCAGCAGTCTCTTCACAGTGTCTGCAATTGTACGCTCACCATGCACCTTGTTATCTCGGGTGCGGATGTTAACTGTTCCACTTGCCTTCTCCTTTTCACCAACAACTAGGAACAACGCACATGCAAAGGAATGAATTTAACATTTGGAAAGCTCTTTCCCCCCCCCATTCCTTTAAAACTTAGGTGTACTAAATAAAAGTTCTAAAAAGCTTACCAACCAACACATCATTCCTTCTCTGACCTCCTCCCAGCTTCCCCAGCTTATATCTGTAGTAGCCAATAGCCTTATTTAATCTTGTATAATGTTATAGGTGTTAGCATGTTATGAACAGCAGCTTATCAAAATATGGGTGAAGATAAAACTAAACTTAGTAAGTTCAGCTTGACTTACTTATTATTAGAAACAAAGTCAAAATGAGAAATAAGCATAGAATCATAGAATCAACCAGGTTGGAGAAAACCTTTAAGATCATTAAGTCCAACCATTACCCCAGGACTGCCAAGTCTACCACTAAATCATGTCACCAAAGGCCTCAGCTACAGAGTTTCTGAACACTTCCAGGGACAGTGATTCTACCACTGCCCTGGGCAGCCTGTTCCAATGCCTGAGCACCCTTTCAGCAGAGAAATGTTTCCTAATATCCATTCTAAACCTCTCCTGGTGCAGCTTGAGGTCATTACCTCTTGTCCTATCACTTGTTACTTGGGAGAAGAGACCAGCCACCTCCTCCCTCCATCCTCCTTTCAGGTCGCTG